CTTCCTAACGCTCAATATCTCGGCTCACAGGGCAGAGTGACGCTTTTTTTTTGTCAGATTCTTTTGTTTCATTCTTTCGTAAAAACGCGTCGAATAAGCCTAATTTTATCGAAATCGAAAGTAGCACTTCTGAAGAATTACCCTCATTTTGTCTCTGTGACAGATTTCCTAATCTCAATAGTTACCAATTTTAACGCTTAATATCTTGATCGGATCATAAGACAGAGCGATGCTTTTTTTGCCAGATTCTTTTCGTTTCATGCAAAAACGTGTCGAATGAGCCTAATTTTATTGATTTTTTGAAGTGAGTATGATAAACTGTATAATTACTGAAAATAAATATTGTTAAGTATATATTATATTTAAACACTTTAATAAAATGTGTATTAATTTATATAAAAATTCTTTGTGAATTTTATATTTCGCGTTAACAAAGTATTTATTGAATTACATGCAATTTAATTATTTTATATAATTGTGATAAACAAAAGTATAGGTATTGATTATATCTCGATAACATATCTCGGTAAAATTTTTTTATATATAACTATATATAAATGATTATACATAATTGCACATACGAAATATATGTTCACATATAATTATATAGACTAGTAAGAAAACTGAAAGCTGTAAAAGTAACCAAGATTTAATAGTTTAATTTCTGTAATCGTATGGAAATTGATATTTCAATGATCCATGAACATATGATGTTATTAAATATAAAACTGTTTTAGTACATTTACACACTCCGATTTACGAAAGTTATAACATCCAGTATTATAATTATTAACGTTAGATGCCATGTAAACATAGAAAAAGTAATGTACTTGGTCAATAGATATTGTTGAAAAGGTAATTTAATTAAAATATAGTTAAAATATATATTTTTTCATAAATGATCTAAAGGTTTACAATTTTTACTAATTTTGACATATGCAGAATAGCATCTGTAATAACTTTTCTGTTATTCATATAAATAAGAAGTGCACTGAAAGAGCTAATGTAATACAATAATAATATGTGTTGCAATAATTAATATATATATATATATATATATATATATATATGTATGCATTCATACATTGGCGCGTTCAGCACAACAGTTTTGCAACTGTTTTGATTGTCTACTGAGATAGGACCATTCCTCTTGATCTAAAAGCATAACCCAATCAGCGCGAAGAAAACTTCCAATAGTTGCAAAATAAACATTCTGCTGAACGCAGCCATTTTATATATGTATAGGGTGCTTTCGATACTTACACATCAGTAAGTCGGATTGCTTATCCAATTGCTCTTTTCTGAAATATTTTAATTGGAGTTTGCTTACTATTGAATTACGAAACCTGTCATCGACGTAATGAAGCTTCTTTCTACGCTTTTATATCGAGATACGGTAGTGTCTCGGTGTTAAGACAAGCGCAACGTAATAATAATACTTCAAATTTTTTGATAAAAACATTGAGAAATTAGATGTTAAAGAGCACTGTGATTAAAAAAAAATATGAATGTGTTTGTTATTTGCAGCAATATATATCTTTGTGTTATATGGTACGTCCTCTTGCATAGAGATCTGCCTCATCTTCTCAGTTTTTATTATTTTTAGTACATACATTATAGACTCATCCATTTAATAAGGCTAAGATTTGACACACAAAATCATGTGCATGTGGAGTTATATACACATAATTCTAGTATGCAGTGTGCTAGCAAAAGTATTTATTTAAATTGATGCATTTTTACTTGTGCATATTTATATTATATTAGATATAAAAATGTATGTATATTAATAAAATTTAAATTTCACTGCTTGTGAATACATTTACTTATCAAATTAGTACCCCTACAGTATGAAATATTATAGTAATATTACATTACTTTGAAAGATTGTCATATTTCATTAAACATTGCTGCAATATTGTACTTCTAAAATATTGATGTAATATTTTGCAATATTACTACAATATTTAGAGAAATATTAATATTTAAAGATATATTACATTATGCAATATTTCAATAATTAATCCAGTTTCATTAATTGCTAAAATATTATTGCTTAGCATGACACACAAAAAACTTATGATGACGAAAAAACATTATTTTGTAGCGAGACTACAAATTACCTTAAATCAGTGCTCGGAATTAGTTGCCCATTTTGGGCAGATTCTTGAGGCGACCCCCACTACCACTCGAAACTCAGTGGCCGCCGATCGCTCACGTGACGCTGTGCCCCAGGAGCGTCGCTTATAATATGATAATTATAATATGAACAATGATTTTCCATATTATCTTGAAAATACTATTATTGATACGTTTTTCAAATAGTTTCTTTAGGTTTATTTAACTAAAAAATACAAAAAGGATGATTAAATATATGTGACTCGGTGTCAATATATATACGATACTTTTTGTATCGCAATGCTCCTGGAGCACAGCGTCACGTAAGCGATCGGCGGTTCGGCCGCCGAGTCTCAAGTGATAGTGGGGGTCGTCTCAGGAATTTGCCCGAAATGGGCAACTAATTTCGGGCATTGTTCTATCTAGTCGGAAAGTGAGAAAAGTACAAACATTGCATAAAGAAATTGCTTATTTTCTTGATTAACAAGTGATTGCGTTCTAATAATGTTAAATTAAGAGTTAAAATTACGTAAAAATAATATTGAAATTATACAAAGAAAGTGCTTATCTCAATCTCCATATAACATTGTAATTAAGTATAATACAATATTGAGTAAATGAAAAAAAATTGTATAAAACATGTTGTGATGAAACTTAGAAATCGTCAAAATGTATCAAATGTTTTTAACTGTTTCATGTTTAAGAATGTAATAAACAAGATGTTTTTAAGATAGATACTGAAAGAGCATTGAATGATGTTGTCATTGTGTAAGTTAAATCTAAATTTATTTATATTTATTAAGAATGTTATATGTACGTCTAAACCATCTGTGTTTTTTTGAAGATTAAGATTATTTGTTTGCCGTTTTATATTTATGATTTCTGAAATCAATTGTTTGCTAAAATATTTTTCTTCATCCAGAATTTCTATATTGTCCCAATCAATTTCGTGACAGCGACGCAAAGCGTGTTCAGTAATAACAGAATAAGAAATGGGACATTTATATAAATTACTTTTATGTTCTGTTACTTTTGTAATTAATTTTCTTTTCGTTTGACCCACAGAGGACATCACAATTCTTTCACATGCATCATAATTCTTTCAATTTATTTTATAAACGACGTTTTTTTATTGTTCTTCGGGCATCAGATCTTTATGAATCTTTATGAACTTTTGCAAATTTATTCAATTTATTCAAACTGAAAAAAGCCGTTCTATGAACATCGCCATTAATTATATATTATACAAATACGAATCGCCGGACCAATCTTCTCCACTCAACTGCGCGCTAGCTTTCCTCCAGGGTTGTTTTGTTAAAATTTTTTTTTTTAAACAAATATTTGAAACATGTTTTAAACATCAGATTAAATTAAACATGCTTTTTTTTAAACAATTTAAAATAAATGTTTAAACGTTATTTTTTTTAAATGTGTTTTTAGTACTATTTAGTAGAGGAGAAGGTGATACTCCAGTTACATTTTGCACGATAACTTGGTTTACTAATAATGAATATTTAAGTTTAAAGCTTGACAATTACATTCATCAAAATGTTGTTGAATTGATTCTGGACTCAAAATTACGAAATATTTATTATTTAGGACACTATTAATAAAAATGTGACAACATTGCATAATGACGAATCGAAGAGAAACATGGATGATAATGTGGCCTTAAAATAATCTTAAAAAGTTAGTTTTGTTTAGAAAACAGTAGTTTGGTTATAAAATTAACAAAAAAGTGAAGTGTATTGCAGAATGTATGCATATATACAAATGTATATACATATACATGTAACTTTATGTATACAGGGTATTTGGAAAATAATGATAAATCTTTCGCATAGGGGCAGAATGGATTAAACTGAGAAGAAAAGTCCTCTCCCATTTTACAATTTTTCGCAATAATTAACAAGATATTAATTGATAAAAATTGCCGAAAATACATATTCGCATTAATTCTTATAAATATATTTGCAATATGTTAGATTGATACTTTAAATGCAACATGTTAGGTTGATTAACTTTGAATAAGTTATAGCGTTTTCTCTTGGCTATCGCCCACTAGTGCAACACTCATTTGGTTTATGTTTCCGTGGCTACGGTGTAGTGCAAATTTTATACACAAAATAGGATTTTGCATTATCTCATAAGGATGGTGTAGAGTCAGTGTGATATTTAAAATAAAAGTCAAGCTGAAACAGGATTTCAACACAATGCTGAAGTAGTTCATGTAGTGGTGTATATAATGATGTTCACCACTCCAATGAAGTGTAGCGTCTACACGCAATTAGTACGGTGCAAGGCTACATCCAGTGTTCCTAAAGGAAAACGCTATTAGATTAATACTTTGAATGGTAGTGTCGGGGAATATGGTCTATATGCACGAAATGGAAAGTTATTTTTTAAAAATGTAACTGTTATTAGTTATTGACTTTCGAAAGTAATCGTTACCATTATCGTTACATGAAAAGTAACGATTCATTATTTTTTCATTATTTTTTTTAATATAGATTTAAAATTTCCGAAAAAAATTTTTAGAAAATTTCCGAAAAAAAAAACGATTTTTAAATATTTTTCCGCGGATTTTCTCAATTCCTTTTTTGAGAGCAGAATAATTCATTGGAAAAATTTATATGTGTTTATAGAATCTACATTCGCTTTTTTCCATGAAAAAAAATTTTAGTTTTTCTCAATTTGAAAAATGTTTTTTTTTTAATTATACCTTTTTTAATATGAAAGATTAGATAAGCAAGATTAGATTAAATAAAAAATTTACTTTCATAATGTTAAAAAAAATATTAATAAAATTTATATAAAATCTATAAAATACACAAAATTATAAAAAAAAGATTAAAAAATGCTTAAAATATAAACAATAAACTCCTTAAAATGTATAAAATTACGAGAATTATCTAGATCTAACTAGGATATAGGAATTGGGATATTGGGATATGTTCTAACAGATATAGAATTATTTGAATTATCTGAATATATAAAATGGTTGGATAAAATAGTGCAATAAGAGTCAAACACGATAATTCTTTGTGCAAACTAATACGATTAACAAGAATTTATCATATTGCGAACATTTAAATTCTATAGGTTTAGTCAAAAACTAGTCTTTGACCATTCAGCGAATCAGTGTCAATTATGTTAAAATTAATGAAATAACTTTTAATATGCTTGAAATGTTAATTGCAAAGAGAAAGAAAAAAAAGGAAAGAAAAAACTCTGATATTAATTATAGACCAGATGGATATTAAAACCAAAATTGAATCTTTAATAATTTAATCTTGATGTAAAGAAGAATGTACACTAATTAATTGGCAATAACAACGCTCCGATAGTCCATCTACAATTGGAAAGTAAGCCTTGGGAAGCCTCTCCAAATCCGTCTGCAAGTTGAGGCTACGTGTCTGTCTCCTGATATAACATCTCCGACACCAATCTCTTTCTGTACTGGGGTTCCTCATCCAAAATTGCAATGTTTTCCCAATCGAACTCGTGATCCTCTTCCAATCGGTGGTCACTTATGACCGAATGTATGTTCCACCGAATATGATTCCTGTGCTCAGCTATTATTATTTCCAACTGTTTATTCTACAAAATTTCGGAAAGTATCGGAACGTAAGGAACAGTAAACCATGAAGGCCCCGTACTTTCGATATTATCACTATTACGTTTCTTTCTCTTAAAATTAATGTTTTTCAATCGTTTGTTAATACTATAAAAAATGAATTCTATCTACCAAACCAGCAATCGTGCCCCTCTTTTGAGAAATTGGATGATGAGACAAGAAATTCAAGTAACCTCCTCGAAAACGTTAATTTATGGTATCAAATTCGATTTTTTAAATTATTACTATTAATTAAAGTAACATCCAAAAAATTGAACCTATCATCACTGACAACAGAGACCCCATGAGAGTGCTATGTGAGTTTTGCTTATATCCTTGCTAAAAATTCCAAGCATGTCCGTATATGAATTTGAATATACTTGGTCAAATGTGGTTCATTGGAAAATATCTAAATTACATATGGAGTTCCAGATATATTTCATGCCGATTTTGTCTGCAAATTCTATTTTAGCATATTTGGATATTCTAGGATTATAGTTCCTACATATTGGGACATAACGGAATTTCCGTACAGCAAATTAAACTAGAATGATCTGGAATTCCAAATATGGTTCGGACAGAACGGAATTTGCAAACAAGGGTTGGAATGGAACATATCTGGAATTCCAAATAATGAGACATAACGGAATTTTCATGCAGCAAATTCGACTTGAATGATCTGGAGTTTCAAACATGCTTCGGACAAAACGGAATTTGCAGACAAGAGTTGGCATGGAATATACGTAGGCTGTTGGAAAAGTTTCTGCAATCTAATACTTCCAGTGGCGCCAACGTTCTGCTACTATCATATCGTAAAATTACTTTTAATCTATAATTCAGTTGACAGTTTGTACCCAAGCCAACTAGTTTTGTTTGCATAGTATTTTAAAAGAAGTTATTTTGTGAGAAAATGGAAATTTCGCGTGAAAATTTTCGGGCAATGAATTTTTTACGATTACAAATATAATCTAACTCCGAAACAATGCATTGAACTTCATTTGGCTTTTGGGGATGAAGCACCATCCAATAGGACTGTTTATAATTGGTTTGCCGAATTTCAGCGTGGACGTATCTTTCTTTGTGACGAATTCCGTGAAGGTCGTCCATCCACGTCTGTTGCCACTAATGTTGATGCTGTGCGTGAAATGATTGAGCGAGACCGGCATATGACATATCGCGAGATTCAGGCATCCTTAGGCATTGACATGAAAGCAATACATACGATTTTGCATGATCACTTGAGCGTACGGAAACTTTGCAGTCGTTGGATCCCACACAATTTGATCGAAGCTCAAAAACAGGCTCGTGTTAAATGGAGCAAAGAAATGCTCAAGAAATTCAATCGAGGTCGGTCAAATTTGGTCTACAACATCGTTACTGGGGACGAAACATGGATCTATTCGTATGAGCCCGAAAGTAAACAACAATCCACTGATTGGGTATTTCAAAATGAATCGAAACCAACAAAAGTTGTTCGTTCACGCAGTGCTGCCAAGCAAATGATTGCTTGTTTCTTCAGTTATATCGGCATATGGCAACCGTGGCTTTAGAGGATCGAAGGATTGTAAATACTGATTGGTATACAACAATTTATTTGCCAGAAATCATAAATGAATTGCGTAGAAAAATCAAGAACAAACCGAAATCGTCGCATCATCTTTCATCATGACTGCACGTCAAACCGTTGATTTTTTTATCCAATAAAAATGTCGAATTAATAACTCATTGTCTGTATTCACCTGATTTATCACCTAATGACTTCTTTTTGTTCCCAAATATTAAAAAGAAGATGCGATTTGAGCATAAAGCCTAAAGCAGCTGTTGAAGAATTATCCATACATACAGGTAATTGGAGATAAAAAGTTTCCACATAGGATTCTTGCACAAATTTTATAGGAGTAATTGTTGTCAAGTTGGCTCCAGTTACAAAAGATCTGGAAAAGAATCACATACGATGAATAGGATTATAAACATCATATAAGACTAAACAAGCATGATTAACCTTTTGCTGTACAATATTAGTACTGAAAATCTAATATATATGTAATGTAAACTGTAAGTTTGATGAAAACGATATATATATCATCATCAAAAGCAGATAAATTTTATTAAAACTTTAACTACCCTTAAACTCGTATACAAAATTTTTATGATAAATAATTGGACACATTTAGTAAATGTAATATAAATTAAAATTTGCATGTATACGATATTTACATCTAATTTACATATTATATTTATTAAATATATCCGATAAAAATTTTGTATATATGCGTTTCAGGTTAGTTGTGAAGCCACATGTCAAAAGATCTAATATATATCTAATTATTATATGCGATATGGGCAGATAGATGACAATCTATCTGACAATATATAATAGATTTGACAATTGAAAAATTTTAATTAAAGAATTAAAAGCTTACCTGTGATAAAAATAATCTGCAGCTTCGATCTCGAGCTCCATCGATGTGTCCGCTATCGGAAAACGGAAACAATGAAAAACTGCGACGCACGAGTTATTCGCTTAATAAAGTTCCGCGTAATTCAAATTATTCTTTCGCATGCTTTTATCGGCTCTCATATAAAATATACAATTCTTATATCTGGGATATAAATTTTAATTCTTTAACATAATATAATATATTGAGTATGGGAATAAGTTTCCGCCCTTTTTAAATGAAAAAGATGTATTTATTTAAACAAATCTACATACGTGAGTTTATTCAAAGTATGCTCCTTCGGAAGCGACAACTTTCTCCCACCTTTCCGGTAATAAACGGATTCCTCGAATGAAAAAATCTTCTTTTGAAGCGATCCATTCATCAAGCCATTTTTTGATACCTTCATAAAAATTGAATCATTCTCCAGAAAGGGCCGACTGCATGGATCGGAACAAATGGAAATCTGAAGGGGCAATGTCCGGTGAATACGGCGGGTGGGGCAGAATTTCCTACTTTACTCCTTCCAAGTATTTCTTGACCGGTTTTGCAACGTGTGGCCTAGCGTTGTCATGTAACAGAATCAACTTGTGCTTATTATCCCATTCCGGTCGTTTTTCTTTCAAAGCTTTCTTTAAACGTATCAGTTGTAGCCGATAATGATCGCCAGTGATGGTTCGGACGGTTTGAGCAGCTCATAATATTGGGTCATCTAAAAAGTATCCGCGGTTTTTTGTC